ACGGTTTTTGTCTTCCGATTCCTATTCTCCCAGGCCGTACGCGCACGTATGGCCGGGGAGAATAGCTTTTTTTACACGGTTTTGCGCTACAAAATGCTATTCCTCTAGTTTGTACATAATGTACGGACCGGAGGAATAGCTTGTTTTGCACGATTTTTTGCATGGCATGACATTTGCTTGGTGTGCGTGTTTTGGCATGGATTTTTTTTTGCATGGCAGGATTTTGCATGATTTTCATGTTTTGTTGACACGACATGTGGAGGGGGCATGTTCTGGTGCAGATCTTGGTGGCGAGCAATCATGTGAGAACTTTGAAGGTTGATTTTTTTCGTTGCAGCACCTCGGCCCAGCTCGGACACAACAGCATCAGCAGCAGCAACAGCAACCCTCGGCTCGGAAACAGCAGCACCAGCAACCCCTCGGCTCGGAAACAGCAGCACCAGCAACCCCTCGGCTCGGCTCGGAGACAGCAGCAACAGCATTAGCAGCAACAGCATCAGCAGCACCAGCAGCAACATCAGCAGCAACGTCAGCAGCACTAGCTCGGCAAGCGGGCGACACAATGTCGTCCGGGCAATGGTGGGACGATAGCTGGCGTGCTCCGAGGCCAGCGTGTTTTTTTTGGTCTTTGTCGGCGCCATTCATGACCTAGGCGTGGCCCTGCGTGGGATCGGCGGCAGGAGGGCTTCCAGAGGCGTCAGGACGAGCGGATGGAGCAGGCCCCCCTTGTTTGTTTTGGTCCCTCGCATCATTCGATTTTTTTGCAGGTACGCCAGATCGCGTCCCTCACCGAGCAGGTGAAGAACGAGACTCCCCGCGCGGTGCGTGCTGAGCAGAAAGTGGAGGCGTTTCGCAACCAGGTGGCGCAGCAGAACGCGGACATCCACGCGATGGCCACCGAGCTGACGGTGGGGAGGCTCAAGATCGCGGAGCTGCAGAAGGAGCTCGACAAGGCGCATGCGTTGTTTACGGGCTTCAGACTGTGTTTTTTTTCTGTGGAAGGCAAACACGCCGAAGAGGACGCGGAAGGAGCTCGACAAGGTGCCTCAGGTGCGTTCGTGACCCACTCCTCTGTTTTTTTCTTTTCTTTCGCAGGCGGACACCTCGAAGAAGACGCGGAAGGAGAAGTAGACCTAGGCCTGTCGCGGCCCCATTTGCCTTTGAGTTGCATCAAACCCTCACTTGTGCGTGAATGTCATCCATTTTTTACAGCTGTGTTCCTGCTCACCTGAGATGCAATTATCCCTCCGTCAGGTGGCCATCTGAGGAGCATCGGCGGCCCGCGCCGGCCTTGCTCTCTTCTTTGTTTGAGTTGCGCCCCCTGCGCATGCGTCAAGGTCGTCCATTTTTTTGCAACAATCTACGGGAGGCGTGATGTTTGATTGTGCTTTCACACTGCATGGACACATGTTCTGGGCGGTTCTCACGCGGTCGTTGACAGGCGCTCATCTGAGAGGGCATCCGCGATTTGGACCGCCGGCAACGGCAAAACGAGCTGCTCGAGCAGCCGACGATGTCGTGTCGTGTGTTGGGGGGGGCGGGGCCACTGTGAAAGTGGCGGCCACTGTATAAGTGGCGGGTGGTAGGGGGCCACTGTTCAAGTGGCAGGCCACTGTACAAGTGGCGGGTGGTGCGGCCACTGTTCAAGTGGCACAGTGCCGAGCGGGCACGTAGGATAGTACGGGTTCGCCCAACGGCTCTTAGTACGGGTTCGCCCAACGGCCCTTAGTACGAGTTCGCCCAACGGCCCTTAGTACTGACTTGCCCAACGGCCCCTTAGTACAAGTTCGCCCAACCCCTTAGTACTGGCTCGCCCAACGACTGAGACCAGTGATTTCCAGAGCCACAGAGGTCCTACTGAGACATTGAGACAAGTGAGACAAGTGAGACAAACACGAAACAAGTGAGACAATCACGACACCTGTCGATTTTGCTGCTTTTGAGCAATTGAGACAAGCGAGACAAGTGAGACGAACACAAGGGTGGCAGGTTCGCCTGTTTGTGAGCAATTTTGCTGAGATATTCGGACAATTGCGACAAGTGAGACAAATGAGACCATACAGAACTGTCCCGAAAAACGGTGCCAAATGGCCGTTTTTTCGTTTGTCTCACTTGTCTCACTTGTCTCACTTGTCTCAGCAGGACTTCCCTGGGCCTGGGAAAAAAAACTGTCTTTGGTGGCGACTTGTCGTGGTGACGAATGGATTGGATGACGTGAAGAGAGCCACGGCAATGTCTCAATGGGGCTCTTACCGGTCGAATCGCAAGGGACACAGACGTCTCGCGCCGCAGAGACTTACTCAATTCGATCAGTAGACGAGCCACAAGGTAGCTGACAGGCATGGAGCGTTGGTCCCAACTACAGGAGATGGTGATCGGTGGGGATGCTCGAGCTGATGAG